ATTCCTGAGGTCATTTGAAACAACTTTTCCCTTAGCCAAAATGCAATCCGCGGCTTCGTTTACGAGTTATCAACGAAAAACAGTGACCAATGAGAGGCCAGCTCGGCTGACGCGAGGCGGCCGAGCCAATCAGCGCACGAAGCCCAGTTCCACTGATTGGCTCGGCCACCTCGCGCCAGCCGATCTCGACTCTCATTGGTCTCTGTTTTTCCTTAATAACTCATAAACAAAGCCGCGGGTTGAATTTTCGCTAAGGAAAAAGTTACTTCAAATAATCTCAGGAATCACCCCTTTCCGGGTGTCAACATAATTACGGGACACCCTGTATATCAATTTTTGCCCGAAACATCGCGTCCGAGGTGAAAGCGAACGGGGGCCCGATGCGGCCGAATGTCGAGCAACGATCGTAAAAGAATTCCGTATAGATAATTTCCGGCGAACGAAGATCGACGGGGCCGATAATGGCGCCGCGAAAAGAGGTGTTGGCCACCTTTCACTCGCGAGCGAGCGTGCGACTGGACTTCTCTCGCCTGTTCCCGCTTTTCGTCCACCGAACGTGCTAATTACCGCGCGAGAATAAAGATCCGTCCGGCCAGATATCCCGCGCGGTAAAAGTTTCCTCTTTCCGGATCGCGGATCGAACGAAACGTCCGCAACTTCCATCGGCGGCTGAGTACAGTAATTTCTCTCCACAATTGTCCCTCAGCTTGTAAACGAAAAATGGACATTTTGGGAGGAGGTGATACGATTATTCGAATCTAACAATTATTCGTTTTTAACAATCGCCGATTGCCAAGAACTATAAAAACTATAAAAGATACTATATAAAATGATCGTATCTCCTCTTCCCAAGTTGTCAATTTTTGACGACGGTCGATTTAGAACTTCCGGTTCAATTGGGAGCTATTTCTTCGCGCGCTCTCTCCGTTCGATTTTGTGACCTCTGACACGTGAAAATATAATGGAATAACTCTAACAAATTAAAATTATAGCTATTAATGTTAACTGTCTCACGTGGAGACACCGTCGTTCTTCGGCCAGCTTCAGACATTTTTATAGAGCAGCGATCGCTATGATAAAATTGAAGTTGCCAGAATTATTATTATTATTATTATTATTATCATTATTATTAATTAAGTTGCCGATATCCGACAGTCGACGTGTTCGCAAAAATTGTTCCGGCATTCGATAGTGTTTCCGCCGGATACGAAATGGCTGATCACCGATTTACACCGGGCGGGTCAACTCCGACCCAAAGTGTCAACTTTCTTTCATGTTCGATTACGCTTCTACCGGACGTGAAACGTGTAATCCCGGATCGGCGGTGGCGGGTCAATATTGACCCGGGGTACGATCACGATCGTTGGTGCGGCGAGTACGCGAAGAATTCGTTCGAAAACGAAGAGAACGTTTACATACCTGGTGTCTGTGGAACAAGGGCACCGGCGAGTAGACGAGCCACGAGGCAGAAAGTGCGTCCCAACCGTCCGTCGCCTAGAATTATCAAGCGTTCGGCACTTCCGTTCTCTCCTCTTCTCTCTTCGCGATGCACTCGATCGACGAATACTCTCTCGCGCGTGCGTACGCAAATGTTAATCACTCTCCTCGCCGTTCGCCGGTGGCGTTGTAGAACACCGGTTGTCGTAGCCGCGATCCCCGGCCGCGGTGTGTCGGGTCGCGCATAAATTATCGTTAATATTAATTGCTATAAATATATCTGTGTCTGCAGGTACTTCGCTGTCCTGGTTCGTGGAGCCGATTGAAACGGGGTGGTGCGGGTGTGTTCCGGATGACGGGTGGGTTCAAAAGAACAAAAAAAGGGCGGGGCTTGAGGTACCGTTTTATCAACAAGGAGATTTTCCTTTCCAAGGAAATCTCTCTTTTTCTCTCTCTCTCTCTTTCTCTCTCTATCTTCGGATAGAGATCCTCTCCTCCGGCTTGTTGAAATGCTTGAGAATGATCGGGGCTTCTATCGTGTACGCGGACCGTACAGATAAGTGGCCGCGAACATATAGAGAGAGTCAGACGACGCGCATATAATAAACTCTGTCTCTTCGTGACTATAGATATCTCATAAACTGTCTCCTCTCTCTCCCTCTTGTCTCTCTCTCTTTCTCTTTCTCTCTCGCTCTCTTTCTGTTTCGAGTATGTATAATATTTCTATATATATTTATTTATTTATTTATATATTTATTTATATAACGTTGTTATTATTAATAATAATAATAATCATAATAATAATAATATTTTGTGTTATTACTTTATCGTTATTCTCATTCCCTTAGCTTATTAGATTTGTAGTTACGTTCTTTCGGAGGAGTCTAGGCACTATTGCGCTGCGAAAAAGAGGTTTAAGTTTGAAGGTACTTGTTCGTACGAGGTATATGTTCTCAAGGTAGAAGTTTTTAAAACGTTTCCCGCGACACACACCGGGATATCTTCGTCTCCTGGCGAACGCCAAAGGGGGAAAGGGACTGTGCTCTCTTCAAGGTTCCGTCCGGTCCACTTCTTCTTATTCTTCGTTCCGTTCTAATCTTCGCTCTCTCTCTCTCCCTCTTTCTCTCTTTCTCTTTCTAGCCCCACCTCAGCGGACCGTTCACCTTCAGTTGCTCGCCTCTATCCTGCTCTCTCTCGCTCTCTCTCTTTCTCTCTCGTTTTCTTTCACTCTCTCTCTATCTCTCTTCTTCCTCTTCTTTTTCTCTTTCTCTTCCTCTTCTTCGTCGTCTTCCTCTTCGTCTTGTTCCTCTTCTTCTTCCTCTTCTTCTTCTTCTTCTTCCGCCTTCTCCTGCTCGTTTTCCTCTGAATGGTGAGCCTTTCACTTGACGATCGATGGCAAGGCCCTCGTCTCCGCCACGGTAGGGTCTCTCACGGAAGGTCAGAAGTCGTTATCACCTCCTCGAGCCACCCCGCTTGCTAACCGCATCGCCCTCGGCACTGTAGCCGCCCGCCTCCCCTCGACGATCAACCACCACCACCATCTGGAACCAGAAAAATCGGGCACGCTCTTAGATTCGCACCATCCACGCGAATATACCCGCGTTCGAAGGTTCGATAGTTTCGTTCGCGACGCTTTCTCATACGACACCCTGTACATATCGTTGCCGATATTCTTGTAGAGCATCGGAAGACCAATCCAACGAGTATAATGAACATAGACTTCGAGAACATTGAACCACGAGATACCTGCGCGTGAAATATTAAGTGGCCGACATTCTGACGCCAAGTATCACGAGGCAAGTATCATCGAAAGTAATGGTATAATTTTATAATATTCTTTAAATTCGTTGTATAAGTTATTGTATTTTATTTAGTTTACGTTATCTCATTTATTTTATTTTATTTTATTTAGTTTATGTTATTTTACTTATTTTGTCTTATTTTATTTATTTTATCTTATTTTATTTAGCTTATGATACTTTATTTATTTGATTTTACCTTATTTTGTTTAGTTTACCTTATTTTATTTATCTTATCTTATTTCAATTATTTTATCTTATTTCATTTAGCTTACGTTATTTTATTTATTTTATCTTATTTTATTTATCTTATCTTACTTTATTTCATTTATTTTGTCTTATTTTATTTTTTATCTCATTTTATTGACTTATTTTTCCTCATTTTATCTATTAATTTTAAGACAAGTCAATGAAGTTAATAATAATAGACAATCGAAAATATACAATAATTGTATTCGTTGGATTCGTCCTCGAACAATCGCCCAGAAATAATTTTAGCCACAGATACAAATTCCCGGACCACAGTGCTACGGAAACGCAAGCATTCTTTGCGTTCTAACATGCAAACTTAATCTTACTTCAAATTAGCTAGCTTCGTGCTATTAATTTCCCCGATAAATCAATATATTTGACTGAAATGAAACTATTCCAATAGAATTTGGCATAAGATTCTATCGATGCAGATTCGTCGAAACGAAAGTCATAACCTCGAAAGTAACGTCTAAACCAGTGCTCGGAATGCTACGGAACGCAACATTAGGCTCCGCCTCCTGACTACCGCCGCAGCGTCTCGCTCCCCGCGTTGCTTCCATCGACTGTGTGTCGCGGGGAGCGAGACGCTGTGGCGGTAAGCCGACGGTGGCAGAGCGGGGAACGGGACGTTGCGGCGATAGTCAGGAGGCGGAGCCCAATGTTGCGTTCCGAAGCGTTCCTGACCTAGACTGCCAATGAGCGGACCTGAGCTTCGCCCGCCCATTGGCTCGGCCGCCTCGCGCCACCTGATCTCGCCTCTCATTGGCCACCGTTTATCGTTAATAACTCGTAAACGAAGCCGCGGATTGCATTTTCGCTAAGGGAAAAGTTACTTCGCATGACCTCAGGGACCTCTAATTTCCAGGGAATAACATAATTTCGGGACTCCCTGTATACAGTTCAAATACTATAGTTCGGAAGAACTATTTTAGATTTCAGGTTAAAATCTTTCTAATATTACAAAAGATTAAAATTATTTAAAAAAGAATCAAAATTGCGCACGGCTCATATCTCTTGCAATCTTTTATTTTGCACCAAGTTTAGCAAGCTAATGGTTACCTAATGGATAAAAAGGGGACCTCCGAGTGCAAAGAGAGCGATACACAAATGAATTATACGTGTGCGTAAAGAATCCGCAAAGAATTCTGAACGCAGCCTATTGTTCCCGGTCGGCTATGCGCAGAGGAAGAGTAGGTATCTCTTGATGGAATTAACCAAGACCCGTCTCAGAATGGTGAAAATTGCATACGGCGCACGGCCCCGGTGAATTTCCGCCATTTTCGCGATCCGCCGGCGAAGAAAACGAGGCGCAGACGTAATATCTTTCGAAACGGAACGGCCGTGCGGATCGCGACGAATGCGAGTGCCATTTCTCTCCTCGCAGCCAGAAAATTCATTTCCACGAATACGCGAGGCCGAGCTGGCACGCCTGAGACACTCTCTCTCTTCCTCTCTCTTTCCCTTTCTCTCCCTCTCTCTCTATCTCTATCTCTCTCTTTGTTTCGCAGACGATCCACGACATCGTGGAAACACGCGACAAACTCCGAGAATTTATAAACGGCAACAGTTGCTCGTTTAAATAACCGAATTTCCCGCCCAGCCTTGCTCCTGACATTACTCTGCGAGAGTTCACTATAGCGTTCTCGTTCGCGTCAATCATTCGCAAAGTTTCTTCGTAATAATAAACTATTTAGTTCCTCCGCAATAATGATTTATTACCAGGCAGAGTTTTCAGCGTAAACAGGACGTGTGTGCTAATTACTTTAGATAAAGAGATTGGAATTATTGTTACGCAGAGTTGGGCAAAATTTTATTATTGAAATTTTATTCAAAGACTAACGAATAAGATTTTATTCGTCGCTATCGGATAAAGATTCAATCGAAAGAACAATTTATCTAGATAGAAATTTATCCGAATGAAATTGTATTCGACGCTATCGAATAGAATATTCGATCGAATAAATATTCAATTTAAAAATCTAAATATTCGATCGAATAAAAACGTATCTAGACGAAAGTTCATTTGAATAAGATTTTATTCCATACTAACGAATAAAATATTCAATCGAATACAAATTTATCGAGATAAAAATTCGTTGGAATAAGATTTCATTCGAATAAGGGATTTATTCGTGCAGAAATTCACACGGAAAATAAGTGATTTGAATAAAAATGATAGGATATAAACTGTTTATGTTCACAGCTTATCGATTCATTATTTCCACGTCACTTTTTCGAATTATTCGAATAAAAAATTTTTCGAATTATTCGTACAAAGACTTTTTCGAATTATTCGAATAAAGGATTTCTCGAACAAAGAATGATTCGACTAAATAGATAGAATAATTTACGACGAATAACGAAGAATTTTTTTTTATATTTCCACTTTCGTTTGTAATTCTTTCTATTTTATTTTTAACGACGCCAAAGTGAAATCCGCGATTCCCTGCAGCAACGGTGCCCAAAAAACGGTCGCAGTCACCGTGCGGCTTGCGCAACAGCATTATTCAGCGGCGTCCGCTGCAGAACGCATGGAAAAACCTGTCGGGCAGCTTTTACCAAGCGAGACCAGCGTGTCAGGGATCGCGAGGTACAGTTCTATAAATATATAGGTACCCGTGGCCGAATATAAAAATATTCAGCAACAAACTCTCGCAAACAAACAAAAATCTATTTTCCTCGGACTGAGTCACGGAGTGCGTGCCTCCGTCCCTCTATGGCAGGGCTTCGATGAAACTGTTCAAATTTCCTGTCGGTTATTTGTTTAATTTTCAACTATTCTGCTCTACGTATTTCCTCTATTTATGCGTAGATAGACGATACGTACTTGTCAGAATTCATGTTCGTTGACTACACGAATTTTTGTACCGCCTGATAGGTAGGTTTGCATATTTTGAGACACCCTATATAGTTTTTGTTTTATTTTGTTTTATTTTATCTTACTTCGATTTCTTTTGTACTACTTTGTTTTATTTTGTTTTACTTTATTTCATTTTGTTTTATTTTGTTTGTTCCTAGCAAATTAATCGCTTATCCATCTACGTTTATTCTGTTTTCAGTGCGTTAAATAATGTTAAGTAGATTGAAAAATATCGTAAACTTTAATATTTTACTTTAAAATATCTGTTAAAAATAATATTTTATATATTATATTATATATTATATATTATTAGTTTATATATATATTATATTACATATTATATGTTATTAGTTTGTATATTATATCGTGTTATATATCGTGTATTATTATTTTATATATAAATATATTATAAGAATAATTCATATAAGTCATTCAGTAAACATTTCTTCAGAATGTTAACCAATTAAACACAAAATAATCGTTAAAATTGAGCTTTTATAACAGAATGAACTATTAACATAAAAGTTGACTTGAAACAGAAAAAGAAGTATAATAATTCAGAGGTTAAAAGTTTACCGAGTAACGTCTACTTGTAAAAGCGTACGGTTAAATTACAGTTGAATTCGAGCCCCGCCTGAAAGAAATCGCGCGATCGTGTAAACAGAGATGCAGCTGGCTGAGGAAGACTGTTCCCCGCCCTTGTGTGTTTTATTTAGGATTTTTAAAGACCTTCCGTCAAAGTCAGCGTGGGGCTCGAGACGTTCAGACTCGGCGATAAACTGGACTCATAGCGCAAACATCGAACTGCGCCGAGCAAATCGACAAAGCACGACCTTCTAAATCGGTCTTCGCCGTATATGGCTCACTTTACGAGCCACCATCAAACCCGACGGGCTCGGCTTCTATTGGAAACTTTGTAATACATTGCTTCGGGGTACAGGCTGAGCGAAAACTCTGAGCGAGATCTTCAATTTAATTCTGCTTAACTGAATTATTTTTTGATCTTTAAATCGATGCAATGGTTTAGCATTTCGATGTAGAAACGTCGAGGTGAGGAGATTCCGGCGGCGGCCATATTGGTGGCACTGATTGCCGTTCTAACCTAGAAAGTCCTAACCGAAGTCTATGATACCTCAACGAACTATAATGAATTGATTTAATTATCGAATTAATGTTTTACGATCTTGTGATTGATTTGTTCACTGATCGTGATAGTTTATTGTTTTTGTATAAGAGTTATTTATGTATAGAAACCAAGATTGTTATCCTAACCTAGAAATCCTTATTTTCAGTCTGCGATATCGCAACGAACTGTGATCAATTAATTTAATTATCGAATTTACGTTTTACCATTTTGTTGTGAAATTCAATTCATTTGACACCGCCGAGTAATTAATTTAACCACCGAGTAATTAATTTAATCATCGGGTAATTAATTTAACCATCGAGTAATTAATTTAACCACTGCAATTAACGGTTAAATTTCTGCAACTGTTAGTCGCCATTAAAGACTAATGTAAGAATCTCTTCCAATACAAAAATGTAATAAATTAATAAAAACAGTAAAGATAATTTTCGATAGAAATACGTAAAAACACCGATACTTTTAACATCGAAATCGATTAACGCA